ACAAATTTACCTCCTTCTCTAACTCAGTTGATTGGACAAAAAATTTTGTTCGTTGTCAATGTTGAGCGTGCTAACGTCATCTGGAAACATGATAGCTTCAAAGTACTTAGGATTGCAAGAACCACAACAATGAATATGTGTGCAGATCTATGAGTCAGACGATGAGCAATTGTGATAGCTCACAGGTATTTGCATTGTTTAGTTTTTATTAATTGTATAATATTTGAAATTGAATCTATGTTTGAGTCAAACGTGTTATGTCTTTTATTCCAGGGAGGAGACAGTGTCAATCAAAAACCTCTGCTGATTACAGATTCTGAGAAGACTACTGATTTGACTCCATCTTCGAAGCGTAAGGAGATGGAAGTGAAAACTGATGATGAGAAAACAGAGGAAGGTAAAAACGCAGAGTTGACTCCATCTTCAAAGACTATAGAGATTGAAGTGAAATCTGATGACGAGAAAGCAGAGGAATGTAAAATTCCAAGAGATGCACCAGATCAAAACTCAGCATCGAAGAGAATTTGTCTTGCCTCCATCAAGACAGAGAAGACGAAGTAGTCACAGGCTTATTTCAGTGTGGTTATGGTGTTCTGGTGTTTTGTTTTACTTTATTTTGGATTTAAATTTGGGAGCTATGATACTCTCTCTTGATTTTCTACTATTTCGTTGGCTTTGGTTTTGGTTTTCCAGTTGCTATTCAACCTATCTTTTTATGAGTTTGTTTCATAACTTCTGAAACAACTCTTATTTATCTAATGAAATTTTTGGATCTTATTTCCTTCTAAATTAACTTATTTTAAAGTATAAATTTATAGACGTTAGCAAGAAATGAATACACAAAGATTTGCCCATAAGAGCTTACGATTAATATATAGAGGATTACGTCCGAAACTTTCATCATCATATCCAAATTCTAGGATTTTCACACCACCATCATATCTTTCTACTTGACATGTACTAATAATTGACATTAACATACCTAACATGGTATCTTCTTAAAGCGAGAAGACTAAGAAGTCAGACCTCCATAAAAGGATGCTCCTATTGGACATTAAGAAAAGTTTCATCCTGCAGCAAAAAGAATAATGTTTGCTGGTAATTAGCTTCAAAGACCACAAGATGATTCGATGTTATATTCCACTATAGAGCATGTCAACTTCAATGTATCTTAATTTAGCAAATTTCTCATAAATCAATACAGAATTTTTTTCAATTATTGAGAGCAAATGAAATTAATTTCGAATTATTTGTACAAGATTACCAATAAGTTATAAAATATTTACCTACTTATTTGTGGTAGCTAAAAATTTATTAGCAAAACTAGTATTAATGCCCGTGCCAATTGGCACGACCTAGTATAAAATTAGTTTAAATTTACATTTTTCATTTTGTTTGAAACAATCAAATCTTTCAAAAGAAACATGGTTAATCGAAATATCAAATATTAGAGTACTAACCTAATATGAATAAAAATTGAATTCGTAGCTACGGTGTTTTTCGATGTTACTTTATCTTCACCACTGTTCTTTATTCCTTGTTGTTTCATCAAATTCATTTTTTGTTTTTTTTTTCTTCCAAAATTCTTCCAAGCGATCTCCATGCTGTGGAAAAAAATTTGATCTAGAAACCATGAATGTTGATAAAATTTATCAGTAAGAAGAATATAGATGATGTAGACTTGTGTATATACATAACATGAACGCAAATCTTTTTTTTTTACAACCAGAAATGTAGATTTATTAATAAGAATATGTTAAAAAAAGAATCAAGAGATGTTGCTTACTTCGTGTAATCATCTTCTTCTTTAATCCACCAATATCGCAAGAGATCTAACTGACTATGCGATCAAAACTGCTAGGGCTCATGTACAACTATCAAACAGCCTCTAATACACTACTCACACTTTGGTTTCAGCACTATGATACAACAACTCGACGTCGTCTTCTTGTGCAAGTTTCTTGAAAGTCAAACCAACTCCCTCTTTTATCTCTTCTATTTTACTCTCTATTTTGTAGCCACTAAATCCCAAAATCACTCTGTACAGTTTATTTCTTGCTACTAAATTAACCCAAAAGAAGCGTAGTNTTTGAATACAAAAACAAATACTATAGAATCTTTTACTTTTTTTTTCTTATTGGGAAAAAGAGTAAAAATCGATTTTAAAAGAGAAGTGGAAGAGGAAGTTGAGATTGTGGGANAGTGGATAGGGTGGAGCGATAAAATGGGAGAAGAAACGGATAAAATAAATTCTAATAATATTAGTTATTTATATATTAGTGCAAAAAAAATAAAAATAAAAATTCCAAAATTTGTGGGTGAGACACGTATATAAAATGCTGAGTTGTTAAGCTGAGAGTAATTTAAGGAATCTCTTTCTAGCTTTTATAAATAAGAGATTCTTGTTGCTTAACTAAGGGAATAAATTGGATTTGTAATGGGCTTTATTTTTTTCTTTGTAATGGGCCAATGGGCTATTAATTAATATAAAAATTGACGGAAAAAAACAAAAAAAGTATTTTCGTTTTAGGGCATATCTGATCCGACACTTGTACCACAGAAAGCGCCGTCTCCGCGAAAACCTATTTTTCTCATCTCGTTTCCTTTCTTCTTTCTATTCAATAATCTATCGAAATCCGACTGTGGTTGCGTAGATTCGCTTTTTTTTTTTGTATTCGTTTCTTTTCTCTCCCTTCTGCAATTTCTTCCTTCTATCAAACATGAAAAACGCTTCGAAAAATTTGACGAGTGCTCCTGCTGCTGCGAATACGACTGGTACTACGGGAGTTCCGACTGAAACTCCTCCTGCTCCGACTTCCACTGGTACTCCTGCTGCTGCGACTCCGACTGGTACTTCAGGAGTTCCGACTGCTCCTCCTCCTACTCTAACTTCCTCTGGTACTCCTCCTGCTGCAACTCCGACTGGTACTTCGGGAGTTCCGACTGCTCCTCCTCCTGCTCCGACTCCGACTGGTACTCCAGAAGTTCCGACTGGTCCTGCGACTCAATCTACTACATGATTCCTTCAGGAAAGGGTCCTTACTCACCTCCTGAAAACGCAGGAAGAGTTTGACCCACACACTTCGTGGTCTGAACAAAAGAGGTTATTTAATGATTCTCTATAAGGTCCACTGAGGGATATGCTGAAGAGATTTGATATTTTAAAGCATAATATTGAGGGAGTGGCGAAAGAACGAATGGCGTCTTTGAATAAAACACTTGAACACGAAAAAAATAAGATTTTTGGTCTTCAAAAAGCAGTACAAGGGATTAAGAATATGGCACACAACGAGAATAATCTGACAGGCCACACAACAAATCATCCAGGAATCACCGGAGCACAACCAACAGCGACCACAGAACAGGTTCTGTCTCAACCGGGAATCACCGGAGCACAACCAACAGCGACCACAGAACATGTTCCGTCTCAACACCGGAGCACAACCAACAGCGACCACAGAACAGGTTCCGTCTCAACCAGGAATCACCGGAGCACAATCAACAGCGACCACAGAATAGGTTCCGTCTCAACCAAGACCTAAGACCAGAAGTTCAACTACTGCTGCTGCATCAAATGCTACACCAGTCCGTAGTTCAACTACTGCTGCTGCATCAAATGCTACACCAATCCATATGACAAGAAGCTCAAGTGCTGCTGTTGCTGCATCACAAGCTCCTACAAGTGTACTTAGGCGTGAACCAGCTGCCACTGCACAACGAGGTAAACCTAGGAAAGAAGCAACTAGCACTGGAATAAGTGTAGGCAAGACAAGTGCCAGTGGCTCACGAAGGGGTGGAAGAGCAAGGGTCTCTACGAGGGAGGAAGGAACGAGACAAGTACCAGTGCAAGAGGAAGAGGAAGAATCAGAAGGGTCTATTGAATTTAGAAAGAATGTGTAAAAAAAAGTCCAAAATGGTCTATTAGTAAGAGTTTGTCTCTCTTTGTTACTCCACCGGCAGTTTCTATTATGGGTGCTTGTNTCTCCTAGTTCATGCTTATGGAATGTCTGCTCAGGCAGCAGACATGATCGTTCTATGTTATCCCAGTGGTGTTCAAATGGTTGGATTTTAGTACATGATCTTGCAAGTGGGCAATGGGTGTTGAATTTGGTTGAATTTAGGGCTTGAACTCTGTTGGTAATATTGGTAGTAGTAAACACTCTCCGTCTATGAGCTTTTTATTTATTTTTTCTTATGTCTCTCAATTTAGCACTGCAAAGGGCTAAATCCTTTGAATTTTCCTCCATTTGATTGATGCAGGGTGCTAGCAGTTTGATAAGACAATCTGATAAATAGTCTGGCACAGTTGTTTCGTGCTCTACAAAGTTACCGGATCGTAAATCTAGTCTTGCAATCAAGAAGTTTGCCAAGCAAATCTTTCTTGTTCATCTCTGCTCCATTGATGTCTGATTTGATTTCAGGTTTTTTAACTGTTTTAGAATAGATAAGCTTTCTTTTATTTGTTCACAACCTCTGCTATTTGTTGGATTCTATATGTGCAGCGCTTTTATTCAGGAGTTTCGTAATCGGGAACATGCTTGGGCACTGGAAGATCTGTATTTTGTTATGAAATTCGAGTTCTTGCAGAAAAGGTAGTCTTGAACTTTTGTTGACTTCTGAGAGTATGATTGGTTCCCAATGAAAATGCATTATGATAAAGAGTTGACCTCTAATGGAAAATCTCCTGAGGGATTAAAAGCGGATGGATCTCTTCTCATGAAGGTTTTTGGAGTCCTTGCTGTACGTTGCCCTATCTGTATCTCTATCTTCAGGAATTTTTGTTTGCTCTTGTGTTGAGTTTCTCTGTTTGTTTTTAGGGGAGAGATCCAAAACGAGTCCGGAGCATTATATGTGACTTGCCAATTGTTCGAGACCTACTTCAAGGTGATCTGCTTTCCGACGACAGCATTATATTCTTTGATTGCAAATGATTTACATTCACTCATATATAAAAATTTGGAGTGTGATCAACCATTGATTGGAGCTTGGGAGCAGTAAATGTTTCTCGGAGTGTAATAAGAAGTATCTACGACTTTGAGGAATTTCCAAGAACGGCCAAGGCCTTTTGAAACTCTCTTAGACCATCCACATTCGAAACATTTTGTGGATGTCTTTAAATAAACAAATATTAAAAACACATTCTCTCATCCTTTTACTCAACTTTATACCTTCTCTTTCATCCTTTTACTCAATTTTGATTAATTTTATATTTGAACACACTCACATTCTCTCTCCAAAAGTCACTATTTATGTCTTCCTAAAGACACAATCTCTCCAACAATATCCACTATCTCCTCTCTTTACTCAAATTTTATTAATTTTATATTT